CCACCCCCCCCCTCCAGTGTAATGTATAGGAGAGATCTTTCACTGAGATCATACAGTGGGATTTTAGGAATTAAAAGTTCTCTGACAAAAAAAAAAGAACAACATATAATTATGTACTTGACAGGCTGTTTGCCATTTGTAATACACATTTTTCCAACCGAATCACGATGTATATAATCATTACACAGGCTGCCATTTTTCTTGTTCTTCTTGTATATAAATAATGTAAATAGAACAAAATTAATGGCTAAATTCTCTCCCAGTAAAACGCCTTAGAGTGTAATGGAAATAACCACAGATGTTAGTCCCGTTGTGCTCTTAAAAAAACATTAAGTAAGATTTGTCATTCACAACAGCAACTGTATATTTCTTTGTAAGTCAGCTCTAAATGTACCAGAAAAGAAGAATCGAACCATTTGTATCATAACCTTGCTAAAGATGTAAATACTTATAGCTCACCAGCTTCAAAATTTAATTGAAGTTACAGTGTTGATCCTATGTCACTGAATGCAGCATTCCCAGGAACAAAGCCTTTGAGTTTTGTAGCATTTAATATTATTATCAAGAGGTTACTAGCTGCAAATCAAATGAAATATGCATGATGAGATGCCAGTCGTTCCCTACCATCTGTTTCCATGTTTTTACTTTACCTCAGATATGAAACAGAATTCAAAGAGGCCTGTTTCCAGGGGACACCCTACCCATTACTTGGCAAATTGATGCTGCAGCTACCCATTCACATTCAGTATTTGGTTCTTTAAAAGGAGCAGAAAATATATGGTCGTGGGAAGTTGCCAATGATGAAAAAAAGAAAATATCATTTGAGTCATGGAGTGGGGGGGTACTGACAGCTTTATACTTTACTGTCCTCAATCATGAGGGACTTAAGACTTAAATAACTATACCTTTGCCATCATTACAGACATCATAGTAATGGAGAAAATTTTAAAGAGGATATGAAAAAGCCGTTAAGGTTCCAAAACACAACCGTGTATTCTTCATCCACACAAGTGTCTGGGTCTAGGTTCCCCTGCTGAAGTCAGCGGGAGCGCATGGGTCAATGAGACACTCAGGTTTGGCACGGGTTTCTGTGGAGATTAATGACAGACCTCCCATTCATTTTAGAGTAAATGAGATTGGCTTGCATAACAGCTGAGGAGACAAACTCCAGAACTTTAAAAAAGTTAATTAAATTCATTTGTTTGATTTCATGTGTGGTGAGAGGTAAAGAAAAACTAATCTGAAGAGTTTCATCTTTTTTTCTTCTTCTTTTTTTAGTAAATTTACTTATTAACAGTTAACAACTAGGGAATTTTAGAAGCATTCACCAATGATTCTCTATCCTAATTTTCAAAATTACTACCACTTATTGGCATTTTTTGGAGCAGCTTGCCGGAAATGACAGAATGCCTGATGGTTTTGTAATTTAGATTACATTTTAAATGTCTTTAAAATACAATTTGAAGGTCTTCTGATACACTTATTCTTAAAGAATCATTCCTAAACTTTTAAAAATTCACTTCACAAATACTTAGGGCTCTGGCATTCTTCAGCCTGTCGTAAGTAAATACACCTATAGAGCATTACTGCAGGGTGCTAAAATGTCCAGTCTTAACTCTTGGCAATTAATTATGTGCCAGAGCTACAAATGTAACCAGCTTTTCACTCTTGTTCTTCAGCTTTAATTAGAGTTGGACAAAAAACAGGAACATCGTGACAAAAAAGGGACACATTTTCCATCCAAAATACTCTTAATTTCAAAACTGTTTGATCATCTGTAGCATTGGCTTCAACACAAGTGCTATACATTCTTCTACCTTTGTGTCAGCATTCGTTATAAAAAGAACTGGTAATTAGATTAGTCCTGTGAGCAACAGTTGCTTATCTAAGAATGTGTTTGACAGGCTGAGCCATAAATAAGAAGCTGTAAGTGAATATAAGGAGAAATGAAGACTTACCAAATAAAACCTAAGCTTATTTCCATGTTATGCTAGCTAATAAATGCTGAATGTCCATCCATTTTCCCAATGTCTTTACAGTAAGTTAATGCTCATTTATTTCATGTATCACTTTATCTTTTATCCCAAAATTGTAACTTGATTCTAAATTTCTTGTCCAGAAAAAAAAAAAAAAAAATATCACCCTGAAGTTGGGTGTTGCTTGAGCAAACCTGTGAAAGCATCTTGCCTGTTGCAAGTTCTGCCTAAGCCAGGAACAAATAAGCTGTCCAGGATGTACCCCTGTGTAATTTTGTACTTGGCAACACATTACTTGTAAGCATATCAACATGTTTTACTATGAATCACTGTAACAAACTTGCTTATGTTTCACAGGAGGTAATACATACTGTAGTCCTTATGCTAAATAAATCCAGCTATAAGTCTTAAGAGCACAACGTTAGTATGAAACCCACATGCTGTGTTTCAGCTTTTACTGTGAAGGCTGAGGGTCTAAGATTATTATGCCTCTACAGTATATTATCTGAATTTTTACTTAAATTCATGAAAATTACGGATTGATCCAAAAGCTCTTTCCTGTGACACAGCTGATGATAGCTACCAAGTCAGCTATCACTCCTTTTTTGCATTCTAACAGCATGTACAGTCAACAAGAAAGTTCCAGTAAAAACACTTTGTGCTTTTCTGAAGTCAAAAGAATTGTCTGAATTGCCACTGATAAAGTGGTGCATGTCTCCAGTAGAGATAGGCTTGCATTGCTATTTATATTATTCTCTGTATACTGCAGTAATATGTACAGGATGAATTCAAACAGCAGTAGCTGTATTAATTTTGATTAATAAAGTGTTAGGCTCTCCTTTCATTTTCATGTGCTTCTTATGGTATAGAAAGTCTGTCACACATGCTGTAGGCGTGCTTGACAACCTGGGGTCAATGAGAAGTGAATGGCAGCTAAGGGAGAATTTGGGCTAGGAGAATTTGCTAGCTGAAACAGGCTGGCTGTGATAGAAAGCATTTACTAGGAAAGAATGCCAGTATAGAAAAATCTAGGTACCAATTCAGCAGCTGGTATAGGGAAACCTCCTTCTTTCATGTTGTCCATGTTAATTGGGACATAACTTTAAAATATTTCAACCATTTAACCAAATAATCTAACATTCAGAAAAGAACAGGAAGAATCCATGGAGACTGGGAAAGAGAAAAATCCCTGATAAAAACAGAATTTCCAGGTAAGGTGGTATATTAAACTACTTTCTCCAAAATCTTTCCCTCCTCCATCCTCCTTCCTCAAAACCAATAACAAAAGCAACAAAAATCACTTGGTGAGTGCAACACTGATAAATGAAGACAGAGCCACAAGGCTTCTCCAACTGTGCATCAAAGAACATAATCTGCAAGGTGAGTTGGAATAATCTGTATTACACTAACATTCATTACAGGTCAAGATCTTAGGGAAATTTCTCTTTAGGGAATATATAGGACTTGTCTCCATTTGTCCCTTTATATTTTTTCCACTGTAATTCACTACTCCAGATTTCCACACTCAGAGGCTTTAGTAGTATCCTTGAACAGTCAGATACTTTAGCAATGTCCAATTAAACAATTAGACGAATCATGTGGAACTGAATCACAGATTTACACTTCATCAGATGCATGTCTGGGAAGGAAAACTGGCATGCTCTATACATTCATGACTTGTGTGGGTAGAATTTAACTGGGTATTCAGGCTGATGCAAAAGCAAAAATTTGTGCTGTAGAAGGTTCTCATTCCTACTGCTATAGCTCTCCTCTGTAACCAAAACCAGTTTCATAGGAATCTCTGTGAACAAAGGCTTTCCACTCAAAGAGTCCTTTAGGCTACAGACTGAGACTTGGAGTAAAAATTCATTCTAGGCACTTACCAAAGTGCCTCTATTTTTTATTTCTTAATAG